TTTATAAAATTAAAAAATCAATCTATGGTCTCAATTAATTACTAAGAGCATTGTATAAAAAGATAAATAATGTGATAAGAAGCATATACATGACAAAGAACAATCATGATGCAAACACATATTTTTTACACAAGAAAGGTGGCATAGTTATTTTCATGCTTTATTTTTATGACTTATTTTTTATTGAGACTAATAATAGTCTTATTACTTAGTTAAAATTATCTTTAAAATACCTTTGTCATGGTTAATTTTAAAATAATTAAAAAATATTGAGGAGATGATTTTGACAAAACAACATAAGGTATTTTCATTCATCAAACTCAATATGTACAAAATATCTTGAAAAAGTTTGAGATATTGGAGTATAAATTTGTAAAAACTCTACTATCAAAAGGATTAATTCTAATCAACAATGTGAACTCAACTCTTAGTATTGCAACATTTATTTTTCAACTAATTAAAAAGTTAAGTTTCCTTACTAGTACTACACTAGATATTATTTATCATGTAAGTAGAGTAAATAATTTTATGTCAAGACCAAAAGAGGCTCAATTACATGCAACTAAATATATTCTATATTATATTAAGTACAAAATAGATTACAAGATACTTAAAAATATATATATATATATATATATATATATATATAAAATAAAAACTTGTATTGTAACAAGATTTATGATTATAGATTAGAAATCATGTTCAAAAATACAACGTTTAATAGGTGCATACATTTTTGTAAAATAAAAAAAGTCTTTTAGTTAGAAAAATAAGAGTCAATAAAAGTTTGAGGTCTCTGACTAAATTTTAGTATTTTACTTTTAGCAATGGTGCATAAGAAGCAATATGGTTGTACAAACTTCTCACTAAATTGAAATGAAAAAAATGCAAGTATAATTCTAATTTCTTGCTATAACAAAGAAATTATTTTTAAATTAGATAAATCAAGTATAAATAATATTAAAATATATTGCAACAATCAAGATTCAATTAAACTTGCATAAAATCTAATTTTCTATGTTCAAATTGGACATATTGAGATTTATTATCATTTTATTTGAAAAAGAGTCTTAGGAGGTAAATTTAATCTCTTCTTAAAAGAGAACAATCTACTAACAAAGAATCCAAACAATTTTGCTTGCAATCTTAAATTTTATATAAAAATGAATATAGCTTCTTTATAAAATATAAATAAATTAAATAAAGAAGACTAAAGAAAAAAAAAATTAATCATAGCCAATTCATTCTTTACAATGTTATACATATAAATTAGTCAATATCTATAGTATATCAATAAATAAATAAATAAAATAATTTCTATTCATTTGCTCAAGTCTGTTATGAAGTAGTAGCAATATCTTAAGTGAATACATTATTAATCATCACCAATATGTATCCATTGCGCTATTCTTGGTTACTCCTCATCCACATATTTTAATGTCAATTGCCTCTAGTAGTCTTTTTTTAGTAGCCAAGCTTCAAAAATATCTAATTATTGCATTGTTTAATTTTGGACTTAAATTGTAGATCTTAAATGTATGAGAATCAACTACACCAACTAGACTTCAATCATCTTAGTCATTTCCAAATTTATTGGCTTTCTAGATCACTATTTGTATTTGATATTGGTTCTCTAAAGCCTTCAACACCCAACAATCTGACTAGCATTAGATTTGCACTATAAACAGTCATAGACACCATTACTTATTTGCACTAAAACTGTATCATATCAAATTAGCTTTGACAAAATTACAAATGACTTCTAAACTCGCTGCAATTGATTTGTGAGTGTTTTACAATATGGATTTTGGCACCACAATCACAAGCAATTTTGTAGAAGGAATGTGTTATAATGAACTTAAGATATTTTTAGAATAAGTTCCATAAATAAGGCATTACAACAACAAGCAAACAAATTCTGCAACAACAAACTTGTGTTCATGACAATTGCTACCTTCATCTATTAAGATTAGGATTCACTAACTACATTGTAATCATCTATGAGTTAAGATTTCATCTATTTGTGATAGATGAACTTATTTAATAAATTTCTTATCATAAATATGCCTATTTTAAGCATTACATCTTTTATCAAGATGAAAATAGTAAATATAGTACCACAAAAAGTATTGATTTAATGTTAATAAATTTGAGATTGACCCCAAAAAAACTAAACTTTGAGTGGAGTGTTGGTGTACTCCGCTCAATAATGGTAGGGTTCAAACCTGGGCTGGCATTGACATTTCAATCATTAGAATTTTATTTTTTTTCTAAATATGTTTAATTAGAGGAAATATACCAATAAGTTTATAAATTGTATAATTTGTTAGAATGATTTTCTGTCACAGTTATTTGATTCTCTATCATGTCAGCTCAAAAACATTGTGCTTGAAAGTTAGGTTTTTGATCAAACAAATAGTTTGGTTGTCAATGGTTGAAATTCTCAACACATTGGTTTTACTTACTTGGTTTACGTATCGTCATGTTATAATCAATGTGTCCAATCCAATGCAGTTACTAAATTCTCTTCTTTCTATCTACTTGAGTTTTAAAATAAATTGAAATTTTAATAACATGTTTAATTTAACTTGCACAATAATAATCCTAGTCCAATATCATGATACTAACATTCTAAAATGAACACATTATACTTTGTTATTGATATGAAAAAGATCCATTATATATTCATATCTATTACTATACTCTTTCCAATTTTTTAAATTACAATTTTCTACTAAATTTTTATCACTTATGTATTTTTTTGTTTTTTAATACCCAAGAATACTGTTAGATTTTAATTAAATTTTTGTAAATGGAACTTGTTGTAAAACTGTTTACATTTTAGTGTATATTTAACATATGATAAAAAGATAGTGCAAAAAAATAAAGAATAGTACAGAGGATAAAGTGGCTTTACATTGAATGGTACAATTTCCATGGTTCAAAAACTAAATAACATAACATTGCATGCACACAATTCTAAAACCATGTGTATAGTTTCAAACAAAGCCTAACCCCATGGCCAAAACAAGGATATGATATTAAAAATCAATAAACTCATTTAGATTCCAAAGGTCACCGTAATGTATCAGCATCTCTTGTTATTGTTGTTTTCTAAAATCGTTCCAGGTCTTGAAATCCAATACATCCATATAAATACAAGGTAGAATTTAAATTTATCTTGTAATGCCTTGAAAACTCTTCAAATCAATTTAGACTGATTATACAACCAACAAAGCAACATTAAGGATTTACAAATTTGAGATTTGAACAAAGACATTAAATGTTTGCATAGAAACTTTATTTAATGAGCAACAACCATCACCTCCACATTTGCTTTGAAGAGGCTCACTCACACACCCAAACATCTAGTTCCCTTCAAATCCACATTACAATGTTTGGTGACCATACTATTCCCAACCTATATTGACTTATACTGAGAATGTACCTCACAATCTTCTTGTTGCATTTTTGAATGAGTTGCCAAGTGGATTATTTTGTGACATGGTCAGAAGATTCTACACACACTGTCTCTTCTTCTCCTTTTATTTCCTTCGTTTCATTTTTTTTATGTCACTGTGTTTATATATATATATATATATATATATATGTATGTGTGTTTGTATATATATATATATATATTTATATTTATTGCTTTTTTTTTTCTTTTTTTTTCAAGTCATAGGTTTCTGCATAGCACAGGGTCTATACAGTCTTATTGTATCAAAACATGGTTGTGATGATTTTGATTTACTATATATATATATATATATATATATGCATATCAAATATGCTTGATATCAAATATTAGATTTAGGTGGCACAAATTTTACACTATTTTTTTAATAAAATTCATTGAAATTTTATTTTTAAAAATAACAAATAGATGTATGTATGTATGTATGTATGTATGTATGTAATGAATTTTTGAAGTTTTTTTTTTTTTTTTTTTTTTTGGAGGAAATGAAATCTGTTGATTATAAGGAAAGGAAAATGTAATAAAAAACACACATCCTATCAACTAGCTTGTCAAAAACTTTACACTAAACTACACAAACTCATAAATAAAACAAAAAAATTTAATAATTTTTTACATTTGAATACCAAAATCTGTATGGAATTCAAGGCCATTGTGGTAGCACCCATGGCTCAAAATTTGTGAAAGTACAAGCCACCAAATGAAGACGACCTTTGATATCTTTTCTTTTGATGGTTTGTGAATTGAGGTGTTTTGAGTTGATCAAAATTTAAATGCCTTGGTTACACTTGTGAAGAATGAATGAAAAACAACAAAAATAAAATAAAATTAATAATGTAGTAATATAATTAGGTAGCCAATTTTTGGAATAAAAATTTCAACGGCAAAAGATCAAATTATGTAATTAATACTTGGTTCATGTATTGAGAGCTAGAATATTGCAATCCTCTAAACCACAAAACATTTGAATGTATTAAATGTTTTTTATAATATACATATATATATCAAATTTCTTTTGATTTTTTTTTAGATTTTTCTTATGTTTTGAAATAAATACATGAAAGAAAGAATGAAATAATTTTAAAGCAAAGAGGGGGAAAAAATATAAAGAAATCACAAAAAGAATGTTAAAATATTATAATTTTAATTTTTACAAAAAATAAATAAATTATAAAACTCATAATTAAATTAAATTAAATTACATGCAGCTATGGCTTTGCGAGCGCTTGACATATGGCAACCAAGATTTTCTGACCCATTCCCGAGCTGCCCGAGAAAATAAAATAAACATAATAATAAAATAAAAAATAACCGATCTCCATGCGTAACCCCTCGACTTCTTAACCCGCAAACGGATGAATGAATTCAGCGGTCATCCAACATGGTCGAAACGCCATCGATACGGTCAAACCGTATCCTTTCGTATGGACAAATTACATCAATACGGTAATACCCGTATGGCGTACAAATCCGAAACGACGTCCGTCGCGTTGCGGGGGACTTGTTTCTTGGGACCCCTCGAAACTCCCATGCTCGCAGTGGTGCTCCTCTCTTGGTTGGTTCAATCAGCGAGGCCTCACATTGTTGCGCTTGCTTGCTTGCTACATGGGGCCCTGGACCTCTTCATCACGCCCATGATGAGAACGCCGTAAGTCGTTCAGCGGTGTCTGTACTGATAGATCGCTGGTTCCGAAGCGGATTCACTGACGTGAGGTCATCAGATGCGCATTTAACCCCATTGTTCGTGTAGGATTCGTGTGTCGGACGCGTACTTTGTAGGAGTATCTTGTAGGAGATTGGTGTTTGAAGCGCTAATTATCGGGGTGGGCGGTTTGTGAGCTGGTTTTGACAGTGTGGAGTTCAGTTGCGCTGTCGAGTTCTGTGAGAGTTGGGGGGGGGGGGGGGTAAGAGAGGGAGCATTAGCGAGGGGGAACAATTTTCAGTCGGATTCTTGTGTGCACCAGAGTCTTGGGAGCTCAGAATGCGCACCAGGATGCACCCTCAACAGCATCCGAAGTTAACAGTTGTATCTGCCTAGCTTTCGTGATCACTGAGTACGGTGAATTTGGTTTTCATTTTTTTATTTGTTTATTTTCAACAATTGTGGTGTCATTGGATCGATCCGATATGGAATGAGGCAATCACGGCAATGTTCCGCGAGGGTTATTTGAATTCGAGTTCAGGAGCTTCCGGCTCTGTGTGTGATTCAGTTGCAGGGGAAGCAACAGTATCACGCATGTATGAGTGTTGGGAACTATCAGAGCTGTTGTTCACTTGGGATCGCGCATTAGACTGGAAGTCTTTCATCTGCAATCACCAGTGCTGATGAGGTGATCTCTCGGCTAGATTTTATTTAGTAAATATGTCGATTTCCTTGTGAGAGTTAACCTCGCCTTTGTATTCATCAGGTCATTCCCGGTTCATCCCCACTACTTATCAACATCTCGGCTGCAGAATTGACAATGCATAGGTGTCATTGCAGCAAAGACCATTCAAGTTTATGACTCATTAGCGATTCATGACGAGTATATCAACCTTCATAGCCAGATTGCTAGGCTTCGCTCCCAAACTCATTTATTAGCACGGAGTATCTAAATCGGTAGAGGTTTTCCTGGCAGGGATTTGGAGTAAGGATGTGTTTGAAGGATTATCTCCTGGTGGGAGAACAGAAAGGAAAGCAGGTAATGCAGCTGACCATGCCGAAGTCAATCAAGCCGGACAAAGTTGCAGTTGCGGAACAGATGCTGCTACCCTTGGCAGAGTGTAGTACGGGTGGGGAGGCTTGTACAATTTTGCTGAGTGATCTTCTCTGTGGAGAAACTCTCTCACCTACTACCACCACCTACTGCCACCACCAATTTGGTGAACTCCACAATGATTCCATAGCAACTACTTCCGCCTTCCGAGGCTGGTTAGTTAATGCCATATCCGCCTCGATCCCTTATCCTGCACACGGGAGCTCCTTTCTGTCCAAAAGTAAAGAAAATCTATGTTCCAAACTCAACCGTTTTTCACACACTGATGACACCGCCACTATTGTTGTGAGAAAAGACCCAGCGCCAGAAACTATGGTGGTTAGGGCTGATTCCGTTTCCAAACCAAGTTTGGTGGATCTTGGGGAGGCCATGCGTGTCCTGCAGGAGAGAGAGGTAACGACGCCGCACCGTCTGACAGATCGGTATATCAACACTCTGATATGGTCTGACTTGGATGACGACAAATCTTATGTTGGACTGGGCAGTGCGCGGCGAGAGGGTGTCTTTCTCATATTCAAGGTACTCACTGTCGCAATGATCCGCTGCGTCAGTAATTTTTGCGAGTTGTCGAAGTTGTAATTCTGTCCTCAACTTGGAAATGCACAAGCAAAGTACGGATATCATGCTTGGTTCGGGTTACTCTAACAGCACTTACTATTCCCTAGTGATTCCCTCAGTAGATTATTAGTTGATGCAACTATCGTAATCGGTGGTTGTGCTAATTGTAAAAAATGGATTTGTAGTTTCACATCTAGATTTGAAGTGTGTGCATCCGTGTTACAGCTGGTGGAGGATTTGGGGCTCGGAATAGTGATTGGAGCACACGCCATCGCCTATCTGGATCGCTTCCTCAGTACTATGACCTCCAGCTCGGCAAACTCACAGGTTACATCTTCAGAATAGAAAAGAAACCTACATGTAAGGTTATTTGCGTGACAAATTGTAAATGATTTTCGTCTTGATCGATTCTGAAAACTGTGCGGGCCAAATGGAAATGTTTGCAGGTTGACGAAAACTCAGCAACACATTTTCCTTACATCGCTGCAGCTTGCGTTTTGATTGCAGCCAAAATGGACGATACCGCTGCACCCTCCTTAGCTTCTCTCTGCGTAATTCATAGCACTTGAGACTCACTTCTATTTTTGCAGCTAATACTTAACAGCACAGACCTAACACGGTCAAGTGGCTTCCTAAACATCTGTGTAACTTTCTTAGATAGTAGCAACCTACACGTTCGACTTTGAGCCTGTAACTTGCAATGACAGACCATTGAGATTAAGTTTGCAACAGACAACCATGTCATGTTTTTGTTGCTAACTAATGCTTCACGGCATCCTTGCTGTCATAAGGAATCTAAATTTCCCTTTCGAGCTTGAGTATGTGCGAAGTTTCTGTCAGAATTTTAGATTATCTTGCTCCGTTCAACCCCAATTCAAACTTAAACATTACGCCGTCTGTTAACCGGGATGTGTGCTGAATGCAGCGGTCAATGTGAACAAAATGCAAATCACACAAGCCATCCACCAGATTAAGACAATCTAATTTAAAATCCTGTAAACACGGAATGTTGATTCATAACCATTGAGTTTCAATATTTACATCCCTTGCTTCTCCCAGTTTAAGCAAGACGAATAATTGTATGGCTTGCCCTATCTATTCAAACCATCCGACGAGGTTGAATGCAGATTTCAGATATTGCCAATGAACCGTTCTCTTGATAGTCTCCTCCAGATTAGAATGGCTCATTGACCTCACACGCATGAAACGTGTGTATGATTTTGTAGAGGTTTTCTGGTGAAGCCAATCTGATTTTAGGCAAGCTACGGGACGTGGAGGTGGTGGTGCTCCAAGTGCTCGGATGGAAATTGTTGGCGGTGACCACCTCAGACTTCGTGGACAACATGCTGGCGCATCTTCCTCTCATCGGAGTCTCCTCGGCGCTAGTACAGGGAGCACGCAGCCGGGCCGACGAACTCCTCCAAGCAATTCTCACAGGTTCCTTTTGACTCTCCGTCAGGATTCAACCAAAAGCTGTTCCAGCTGCAAATTCCAGCATATAAAATGGCATAAATGCGTTGTAGAAATCCAGATGACACGCAGTGTATAGACCAGTGTGGCAACGGATCTGAAGCGTAAGTTTTTTTTCTTCAACACAGCAAACACGATGAATGATCCAGGCACTACTCTAAGGTAATCGAATCATTAAAGTTCATTCGCACAATTTTTAAAAAATGACAGACGGTGATCGTGGATGGCTAAATGCCGCTGCAGAGGTGGAGTTCCTGGACTTCGAGCAATCCACAATCGGCTTGTGTGTGATGCAATGCATTCTGGACGAAACTTTGCCACTTCAAGCGGCGCTTCACATGGCAGCCCTCCAAAGTTTTCTGGTCGTGGACATGGTATTCGCTGTCATCACCTGTAAATGTACTCCTCTCAGCTAACTGTTAAAATAAAGCAACAATTTATTACCTTCTCCCAACAGTAGCTGTGAACTCCACTCACCGAGGTTGTTTGTAAACTTCCCTTATTACTTTTCGGTGACTTGAAACCTTCTGCTCTGCATTTGCAGTTTGCGTTGCAGCAATGTCACAAGAGGCTGGTGGATTTGGTATCAGACCCAGTGCCACGATGCTCCTCCTCAACCTCACCGGCAAGTGTGCTCCACGCTTAATACTCCACAGCAACACGAGAGCCCGGAGCAGATTCATCGACAGCCATCACTCGAACCTTGGGTTCATTGAGCTCGGTGAACTCCGATCTAGCGCCAGTTTCTCCTCTTCAAGGTCATGGATCTCGATAGCACCGGCGCAAACTTCGCATAAAGTTTCGCATTCATTTGCAGACTTCTCATGAGAATGTGTGTGGACATTCATTCATTTACTCTCTCACACACACACACACAAATGTACAAATACGTTTTAATTTGGTTTCAAGTAAGAATAACAATTGATGATGTGTGTTTCTTCTAAAGAAATGTCATGGTGAGACATCGATTTGTCGGGAAAAAAAAAATGGTAATGAAAATTAGTGGTGATGGGTTTGTATAAGATGATGCAAGTTTTTATTTTGACAAAGCAAACCAACTTTTGCTTTATATTTGTGTTTATATTTAGAAATATTAGCATTTTGTGATCACGGTAGATGACATGATCAGTTTAATTGAAAACATAAGTGTTGTACAAAATTAGCAAAATGTATATTTTTAGTACTTTTGATTCCCTTCTGTTTCACTAATTACAAAAGCAATAAAAGGTATTGAACTCCATTAAATCATTCAACTATAAATTAGAAAACAATGTTTCCAACAAATAGAGTGTTAAAATACAATGAATCCATAATAAAAAAACAAAATGGTCTGTTTTATTACAAAAAATAGTATGTTTGATATTCAATGTTTCATTGCTAACTTATTTTGTTAAGATATATGTTATCTCGTTTTAAAAAATAATAATATTTTTTTAAGAGCCCAAAAAGTTGTTTATTATAGTGGTTATCTCTCTCTTTCTATGTATCTCTCTCTCTTTATATATATATATATATATATATATATAGATGTGTGTGTGTGTGTGTATTTCATAACCATTGTAAAGAATATGCATTGACAACCATCGACTTCATTTTATCACACAAGTTTCCATGCAGAAACTCTCACTCTCTCCCCCACATTTTGTCGTGGCCAAGGCAACGAACTACAACCTTGGAGTAAAAGTAAAAGTAAAAGTTGAAGCCCTCTTAGTTGGCGACCCATCAAAAACTTGCCAAGACCTCTAGTCTCGAGGATAATGGACTTCGGAGGACTGAGATGGGATACAATTGGGTCTTGACAAAGACTTGCCACGTAGGATTTGCTGAGCCACGCTGGCTTCTCACTTTTTTAGTAAATAGTCTCCAAGGTGTCCAGCTCATCATCCATGGTCTCCATGTCAGCAATTAACGCTATTTCAGTGTTTGACAGTCTCACAAAGATCACATCTCAACACTTTATGTATATATATATATATATATATATTTTCTCTTTACTAGATTGAAATTTTGGTTATGGACATTTATTAACATATATTCGAACATCATAAGTAATATCATGAAATTGATATTTTAATTTCACAGTGATACATATTGAAAAATGTTAAACCATGTCACTATGCATTTACCAATGGCTTGTGAGTATTAAGTGTTATTAGTTGATATTAATAAGTCCTCTGGATTTTTCAGGAAAGCACCAGACAACTTAGGCATTAACTTAATAAGTAATGCCAAATGAATTATATTATTATTATTATTTTGGTAAACCTGGTTTGACATATACATTACAAATCCTTGCTAGTTCATAACATTAAAAAATATATTTATCATTTAAAATTCACTTTGTAATAAAAGAATAACGGACATTTAGTGGTTAATGTTTCATTATTGTGATACATGGTGTCGTATCAACATCAAGGCAGTATATATTCTTTGAATAATGGATTGAACTATTAAGGCAATAATAAAGCTATGCTGACATATTCATTTCAAATTTGACTGCTGAAATAATTTTGATATAGCTATCCATTGACACAATATCGTTTCAGTAGAAAAATAACTGCATTATCCGACAAATTCAAATAAATGTGTTCAATTATTGTTGATACACTGAAATTTCAGATATATTTAGTAACATGCTTAAAAAAACAGATCTAAAACATTGAAGGTGTTTAATTGTTAATCTAACAAGTGAATGTTAAATTGATGAATTTGTTATATTTTTAAATTTATTGATGTTTTTAGGTGGAAAATGTTTTTTTTGACAAAACACAACAAGATAAATTTATAATCTCTATGTTTTATTTAATGCCTATAAGAACTTAAAAATGCAAATAGTTTTAAAAAAATTACAAGGCAATTTTATATGATGAATTGGGGAGAAAACACGATTTCTAAATTTAATAGCATTTGCACATGTGTGTTTAGGTGTATGTGTGTGTATACACACACACACACATACACACATTGTAAATATCAATTTCATATTGTAAAAAATGATACACATGTTTAAGAAACTTCTATCTTGTTCTCAAGCAGAGTATTTCTGCAAAACGCTTTGCACAAAGTAGATTGGTAGTTAAAATGCTAACCATGAAATAATGACTTTGTTCAATGGAAAACTTTATGAGGGCAACCTTGCCATCTCAAATACCCAAAAATATAATCAGGTTACCACATTTTCACCTCATATACATCTTCTGATGCGAGGATAAAATAAATAAATAATTGTAAACAGTATTTCGCTTAATATATGCTTTTTTTAATAAGAAAAGCAAAACTGCCACATCTCCTTACACAATGTACACATTCATCCACTTTCTCCATCCAAGAATACAGTCATAATAAAAGAGTTGGATAAACAAAGTACTTTGCAACTAAGAATTGGTCTGAAGAAATGACTCAATCAGAATTTGAAGATCACAGGACACTCACACAAGTCTTCAAGCATATAAGTGGATACCAAGCAAAGCATTTGTTGAAACACACTATTCCCATTGCCAGTATCATAACCCAAATAAGAATCCAAGACATTTTCTTAAGGGTGACAAGAAGAAGAACAACAAAAAATGGATTGTCACGGTTTTCAGAACCCTAAAACCCAAACAAAGCCTACGTAGACATCTGAAGAATGACCGTGTGACGATCTTATTGGACAGGAGACGGTCACACCTACTGCCGTGACTTTGACGGGGTCGCTCAAAGGTACCAACGCCGACGTGGTAAGTCCACGTCACACCAGCCGTCAGACATTGGGCCTGGTTTCCTCTTCCCCGAACCAGTGCCCCCACGGAGAGAGAGAGCGCGGGTTGGGTCTCCAGCTCAGCGAGTTGCCCACCCTGTCCATTCTCATCGCGGGGTTGCCATATATAGCAACCGGGCCGATTCAAACTTATGGACCAGTCTAAGGTTAACGCAGAAGCGTTGCCGTTTGGACTTCCTCAACGCAGTGTTATTGTGGCCATGCCAGGTCACCCATCACCCCCATCAGCTTTTTGCGCGGATTGACTCTTCCACTTTCCCCGCACTAGCCTCGACCCGCTCAAGCTAAATCCTTTGCTTTCCCCGATGGTGCGGCGTAGGGAAATGGTCTTACCAAATCTAGACCTCACTAATTAAAATGACAATCTGGGTTTGATTGATTCAACCCAACCGGAGCAAGTCCCAATCCATTTGGGTTGAATAGGACTTGTCAATGAAGCTCATGCGACACAATTACACTTTGCGTTACATTCAAGGGATTTAGGAAAAAGTGGATTAATTTCTCAATCGATAAGTTTTCCCGAAATATGTAACAACTAGAGTGAAAACATTCAACAAATACATCAAAATTTTAATAAAAATCGGGTAATTCCCAACACCTAACATTTGATATCACGACGAGAATTGTTTTTTAAAGAAAATGATTCGTTCGTTGTACTGTAGTCCCATTCAACTACAAGGATGTCACGTGCCGTAAATATTAATTTATGTTAGTTACTTTCAGTAAATCGTGAGGTAGATTTTGGGTAGGGGGGGAGGATAAAGTTTCTGTAGGAAGGGGGAGAGGGACGTAGTACTAGTAATAAAGAGAAGGGAGTTGGAAGGTCGCAAAATACGGGCGGAGGCCGTGGTCAGCCGACCTGGGAACAGTACCGGGGAATTAAACTTACCCCCACCAGGCGGTAACGAACGGGACTTTTCTGGAATCCGATCAGCGTGTAGAGAAAAACCATGAAGGATCCTGGTCTTGGCCACTGTCCTGTGCCCGCTTCTTCGTGGCCATCTCCTCCTCCTCCTCCTCCGCTATTGCTGGCTCCGAAGCTTCTCGTGGCATCGCTGAAGACGGGACGCTTCTCGTCGACGCGGAGCTTACACCATCGAGTTCTTTGTGAATTTCTGCGTCCGGCGAGTACATGTATGCAATAGTACGCAATAGTTTGGAAGAGGATCACGTGTCAGGGGTGGGGTTTTCATCACGGGTGCACGGAGTGCCGGTCTGGCTGGTTTTGCGGTGCAGTTCTGCGGAAGCAATTGCCTAGGATTGCTGTTTACTGGTGTGTGTGAGCGGGAGATCTGGATTTGAGTATCGAGGGATCAGATTGGCGAGATTTTTTTCGACGCGTTTGTAATTGAGCGATGTGGTTTCTGCGAGTAGAGTGGTGTTGATTGCTGCTGGGTTGTCAGTCGCTGTGCGGATGCGCGGGGGTTTAGAGGCGTGCTCGAATTCTATTGTGTTGTGAGAAGACGACGATTGGTAAGCACCAAGGGCATTTTTGTTTCGCCTTGGATTGTCTACTCGCACTTCGGTACTTCCAGGTGGTCCGGCCGGTCATGTAGCTTCTTCTTCTTCTTCTTCTTCTTTTGTAGCTCTACGATGATCGGAAGTGTGTTCTCTTTGTATCTGTTGCTTCGCCCTCAGGTTGGATCCCGTTTAGTGTGTCTGCGATTTTACAGACTTCTCGGCGGAGTTAGAAATTTTATTCTTTCGAGTCCCTCCGTCTACGATTCTCCATCGTGGATGCAGTAGTACCTAATGTAGGAAATCGATTTTATTTCTTTTTGCTTCTCCACCTCTTTTGAGAACTCCTCGCTGCATTTCCTAAATTTTGTTAACATATGATTTTTTTAATTTATTTGTTTTTGCTGTCACCTGTTCATGCTGTGTGGGACGGAACGTTATCAATGATGAAAATGACAGCAAACCTTTTAATTTTACGATTAGGATCATGTGTGCAGCCAAAGAACCAAAATTCTTCAATTGTGTTTGCTTTAGTGTGCTTTAAGCAAAGTGTAGCACATCTCCCTTTTCTCTGTATTACTCAGCTTTACTTACATCGTCTATCAAAAAGCGGTATCGTTTTAAGGACGTCGTCGTACTTGATCATTAGTAAATTTAATGTGTCTCAATGCGTGAGTTGGCAATTGTGTGCTGGCTGATCGTCGAGCAAAACCGTCCTTTCAGCTGTATCGTTTAACATCATCCCTGATCGTGATTGAAACTGCTCTTGTCCGAGGGTTTTGTGCTGCAATTTTAGCGGAGTAAGACTTTGCATGGATTGATTCGCTACCTGCAATTAGCCATACTTATCAGAGTAAGTAATTTGTAACATGCGCTGCAACAAACTGAGATTTGGGTTCGAGATATATGTTCTAAAGTAGAATACTTTTGAATCTCCAGCTTGCTTCTCTAGACTGCATGATCTAAGTCTGCTACTCAAGCACTTAACTTCCGCATTCTTGACAACAACGTGAAGCTTTTCTGTTGCAGCAAACTGTTGTCTCGTCGGAAATAGCAGGGAAGTCCTATGTGCATTTGAAGTGGATACCGTCGCTTGACACTAATTATCGATTTGAACAGCTTATGCGTATATAATTCTGGGAACCTAGTTGACTAGCTAATTATGGAAGATCAATTCTTCAATTTGTGTTCAATTCTCGTGCTTCAGGACGCTTTTTAAGTATGCCCTCTTTTCTTCGAATTGTTGAATTAATTCGTTTACGATGAATCTAGCTTCCATCCTTTCACCCTCTGCGACTACTCTTGTTCCTGTATTGCTGATCGTACATTTCGCAAATACAACGATATGAGGTTCTAAATTCGTTTCACATCGTGTCTTCATACATTCTGGTTACGGCTACAAAATTTACAGTTTATGCGGCACTCTTGTTTGGCAATTCTCCTCGTTAGTTGTATCGTTTTCCATCAAGGATTCTGTCGGCTTGAATGCTAGCAGAGCTTAAGAACTGGTTGTAAAATCTTGTGGTATGTGCCTCATATGAAATATCGCTCTTAGGTTTTGTACCACCTTTCAAATCAACTTTTTGTCTAATGCCTGTTCTTGTATTTTCAGGTATATATGTAAAGAATTTAAGTGGCTGCTTGACGATTATGCATGAAAATTTGAGGGCAACATCAAGAGTTAAAAAGCGATTGTGAGAATTAGCCTGATGGCTGTATCTATGAAGAATGTCGACCCTGCATTTCATGGAGTCGGACAGAAAGCGTACCTTGCATTACCCTCTATATCTGTGTGTTATTTTTTTTTTTTTTCATGAATCTGCTTCAGGTTGTGCTGAATGTTATCGCTCTTAAGGCTATGCTATTCCTTGCGGTTATTTTACAATGGTAGCATAACTGCGACATTGACCTTGAAACAAATGTTTCTAATGTTTGCTTTGACTTCACGTGCAGAGGAATGGATATATGGCGCATGGAAAATTTCAAGCCAGTACTATTGCCTAAGGAATCCCATGGAAAATTTTACTCGGGAGATTCTTACATTGTGCTCAGGGTAACCCCCCTATTTCTCTTTAAACATTGTGCTCACCAGTAATCTCTCTAGGGTGTGAATATGAGAGTTCGTATTCAAATTTGTTTCCGAGTGCTACACTGTGATCCCTAGTTCAGCTCAATAATAGCACATTGGTGGATTATATCTTCAAGTTCTTGTTTTCTCAAAACTTCATAATAAATTATTAGTTCATGTTGGTGACAGTCAACAGCATTGAAGTCTGGAGGGCTTCACTATGACATTCATTTTTGGCTTGGGAAGGATACTAGCCAGGTACTCTGATTGCAAGACTCTTATCGCACATCAATGTTCTGACTTTTGTTAGTAGTTACCGAGTATATTGTGAAATGATTTTGCTGAATATTGTCGCATCAACTTTCATAAGATGTTGAATGCTTAATGCTTGTTTTCTACGATCAATTTACTTTACCCGTAAAGAATCGAAATCGTTATCACTAATGAGATGTGAAGCAACTCTTGTGTCAGACTTCGGAATCTGCAAATACTCGAGCATTGTACGGGGAAAAAAAATATGACAACTTTACAGTGCTACTGCTAGAACACCCGTGAAAGTGTTTTTTATCTTCAAATGCTGCTTCTTAATGATTTCTGTACTTAAAACGCGAATTGGTCATTTTGTTATGCCTCTTCCTGACAGGATGAGGCTGGTGCAGCGGCAATTAAGGCCGTAGAGCTGGACGCTGCTTTAGGTGGTCGCGCGGTTCAATACAGAGAAACCCAGGAGCATGAAACAGAGCTTTTCTTATCTTACTTCAAGCCATGCATTATTCCTATGGAAGGCGGTGTTGCTTCTGGATTCAAGAAGTTGGAGGTTGAGAAGGTCGAGCCTCGTTTGTTCGTCGTGAAAGGAAGACGCTCTGTCCGAGTTGCACAGGTTTGAGTCCATTTCATCCTAAAACACCCGTCGCACACTCTTCACCCCGACTTGTGCGCCTGTTAGTAGTGAAGAATACTTGTTTGAGAGGTACTCTTGCTGAATGGAGTCTAGGGAAAGCTTCTACGCAGAGAACTAGGACTTGATTAGAACAACTTTTGCTTGGTTGTAAACGTGGCTCCATGTGTCTAAATGAGAAAAAACCTTGTCCATAACATATTTGCAGTGTAGGTCTCGACTTGTTGACTAAGTATAAGTTGCAAGAAGTAAACGTGTCAGATATTACGGAGGGAAACGGTTTAGATCTCAGATTTTGTGCTTCCTACGAATTGCAATTCGTAGTCAAAACGTTTTTTCAAAGCTGAACATTTACTCGATTGCCTATTTCATTGCAGGTGCCATTTTCTCGTTCTTCACTTAACCATGACGATGTTTTTGTTCTGGATACTGAATCTACAATCTTCCAATTCAATGGAGAAACTTCCAGCATCCAAGAGAGAGGAAAAGCTCTAGAAGTCGTCCAGTATATCAAGGATACATATCACGATGGCAAATGTGACATTATTATCGTAGGTGAGGAGCCAGATGAAGGATCTAATGTTTAATTATTAGAGCTAAAACCTAAACTATATTGATAGTCTGAACACTTGGAGATTTTTTTGCCTTTCAAAAAATACGATCATTATAAGTGCATGCCGGAAAACATGACATCTAATTACATCCGTGGTATGTGAGGAGCTATAAACTTTTTTTTTGAAATTTGAATTTTGCATTCTTCATCCTTTTCCACTTCATTGGTTTTCGCAGATGATGGTACTCTTGGATCCGAGGCCGACACGGGTCAGTTCTGGGTGCTGTTCGGGGGCTTTGCTCCGCTTACAAAAAAGGCCACTGTAGCAGATGATGCTCCTGAGTTACCCAAGCCCAAGCTGCTCTGGTAATTAAATAGTTTTTCTACTGATACTTATTGAATTATGTTGAGTTGTATTTTTTCTTTAAGAATCACTTGCTCGTTTACCCTGGTAGTGTGACGAATGGCATGGGGCTCGAAACTTAAGAGGTAGACGACTATTAAGTGCATATGATGACATGCCTATGTTCTACGTGGTCAATGAAAGTTTGACGATGACTACTACATCTACAACGGTGAAGTGTTTTTCATGAAATTTTTCTGTGCTTGTGATCAACAGTCTACTACTGGTGGTGCTCTGTGAGCACAGAGTGTGACTAACGAGATATTTTGTGGGCTTCTGGTGCTTAAAGTATTGTGGAAGGGAGCTTCAAGGGTGTGGAAATCTCTAAAGATGCGCTGGACAGTAGTAAGTGTTACGTTCTTGATTGCGGTACTGAGCTCTACTTATGGGCAGGTCGTAACACTTCACTTGATGCAAGAAAGGCCGCAATTTCAACTGCAGAGGCAAATTCCCAAGTCCCACCTCAACCATTTACTGCTTTTCTATAAATTATGTAAATGGTCGTTTAATTTCCTGCAATCATTGGTTTAAGTTTTTCTATAGCATTTTTCTATGCATGAGTTGTTGACTGTCAGCATACCTCTCTTAATTGCGTACGTGTAGGGTTTAATCACTGAACATAATACGGCGAAGTACACTAAAATCACTCGGGTCATTGAGGGATTCGAAACGCTAGAATTTCGGTCATATTTTGAGAAGTGGCCGTTGAATGGACACCACACTGTTTCTGAAGAAGGAAGAGGCAAAGTTGCAGGTATGCTTGAAAGACTTAACCTCTTTTTCGAGACCGACGGTCATGATTATCAATGACGTCTGAGATTGTTAATGCAAATTCACTGCTCATAATTTGGAATGAAACGACAGGTATTTTTGCAACTTCATCAAATGTAATTTAGTCCTGTTTCCTGTGCTCTTGATCTCTTTTCAGTCCATCGTCTAGCTCTTTCTGCATATGTATTGGGTTCAATATAATAGTATGGTATTGCCAGCTTTGCGTGTGTCAATAATTTGGACAATTATTTTTCTCCTGATGAGGCGGCCATTACAGGTATTTTGAAGCAGCAAGGTGTTAACACAAAGGGCATTCTTAAGGGTTCGCCTGTCAAAGAAGAACTCCCATCACTTCCAACTTTGAATGGCAATCTTGAGGTTTATCTTGCTGCCCTAATTATTTTATTTTTATTTTTATTTTATTTTTATATTTTTTATAGTCTTTCATATTTAATTATCATTCTTTGGCTATCTTATTCCTATTTATTACATCTCGTGCTTATGTTAATCTGACTTGAGACCAGTCAGAATGCTTACTCCTGAACAACTGCTGCTATCTTAGGTATGGAGGTTGGTCGGTGGCGTAAAGAAAGAGGTTGCCGCTGGAGATGTAGGAAAGTTCTATGACCACAGCTGCTATGTCGTGATTTATACAGTTCAGGGAGAAGAACAGAAAGAAGAATATCATCTTTATAGCTGGACTGGCCGGTACACCTCTCCTGTAAGTGTGGATCCACAACTCCAAAATCTAAGTCTAGCTTCGATGACAGTTCTGTGTCTACAGTACACTTCAGCATATCACTGTGTCTCGTGCTTAGATTATTTCTAGAGCGGTGCTACATGCATATAGGAGGACAATATGAGTTGGATGTACTAAGGTTATCTTGATATGCAGGAGGACAAGGTTGCAGCAACGAGAGTTATGAATGAGAAGAATGCCGAACTTAAAGGGCGGGGAGTTCAGGTAACCTAATGCTGTGAAGCAGCACATGGTGTTGCCGTTGCTGCATATCCCTCAGGAAGCTGCATCAAAGAGTTCATACATACACTAAATTAGGCTCCTTGTTGCAGGGCTTGTGCATTGAGCTTTCATATGCTTAGTATCTCATTGAGTATCTGGAATTTGGGAAGTTCATAGATGGATTTTCAGATTGTGCGTGCTTTATTAGCATCCAGAATTTACCTTCATTAAAGGTCTTTTGTTGCTTGCTCCGCTGCAACTTAAAAGGGTAATAGGGAGTCTTGTTTTTGCGATGTCTGTATTTGTTACTGCATTGCACATGACTCTAATATCTACATTCATGACAGGCATACATTATTCAAGGGAAGGAACCCACTCAGTTCCTGGCGCTGTTCAAATGCGTTTGCATATTGAAGGTTAGTTATTTATCCTGTCATCGCACACTGACTATAAAAGTACTAACTTGCTGATATTTGTCTTTTGTATTTCTCAGGAGTTTCTTTTTTAAAGGCGGGTCAGCATTTGATGAATGTAGTTGCTAGGTGTTGGAATCTAAATATCTTGAATTGGTTGGAAGTAAGGAATCATATATTATCTTGGGGATTCTTTCTTGCATATTTTGACGTTTATTTACATTTCAATTTATTGCAGGAACATACCCACCCAGGTCACAAAGAACATTCAATAATGTTGGTGCGGGTGCGAGCTGCTGGTCCACACATTGTTGTAGCTGTACAACTAGAGCCGGTAAGGATGTGTTTATCTAGGACAGTTGGTCCTGCTGTCAATATATTGAAGAGGTCCAGATCTTGATTTTCTTTCCATGTCTGCTTAAAGATCGAATCGGGTGCTTACTTGCTCAAGAAAAAATCCTGAGTAGGAATCTCTTTTCTGTTTGCAGGTTTCAGCTTCACTCAACTCCTCTGATTGCTTTCTGCTTCAAACCAGCTCAAAGTTGTATGCCTGGTCAGGTAACCTGAGCACTGCCGAAAGCCAGAGGGCTGTCCTGCGAGTGGCAGAAATCTTGAAGGTGTGTTACAATTCTAATTTCACCATGTTAACGTTGAAATTGGTTTCAATTATGTGCAAGAGTACAGCTGCACGCCTGCGTTGAGGAGCATCCTTAATATTTTTCCTAATATTCCGAACCGGTACTTGACTGGTGCAGCCTGGCGTAATAGCAAGGCCCGTGAAAGAAAGTTTAGAACCCCCACTCTTTTGGAGTTCTCTAGGGGGTAAACGGAAATATGCAAGCCACTGTAAACCAAAAGAGAATCCGAAAGATCCTAGGTTGTACGTTTGCAGTTTATCACAAGGTGAATTCTCCACAAGCTTGTTTTATTGAACTCTTTGTCTTTTATCTCTTCATGATGTCTGTTGAATCTCTCATAATTTATGGTATCGGATTTTTGTATACTTTTTGTCATGGTAAATGAACTTCTCCTGCATACTATCTTTTGTGCTTTCTTAGCTCTCACATATTATTAGATTTAATTAGGTCCAAAACAGAAAATGGTGTCTGCTTTTGTAACAAGTTTAGTATGGAACAATCTTATCTAACGCAAATCCGATGGCATGTTCTTGGAATGGCTGCGTACCTCTATTCAGGAAATTTGAAGGTAATGATTTGTCTCTTGATTTGACCAAATGTCAGTTTCTACTTTCTAGTGCCAGTTATTACCAGTTATGGGTTTTCTGTGTTAACGATGGATATGAAAGTACTCTCCTGGGGTCTAAAGATGTCTCCTCATCTGTTACAATGCCTCTACTAATTCTGGGTTAGAGCGTCCAGATATTTTTCATAATTGTAAAGCGACCATTCCTACAATTATTTTATCAGATCACACTGAGTGTATGATAAAATTCTGAGGTGGGAACTGTACAGGTGACTGAAGTGCACAATTTCACTCAAGATGATCTTCTGAGTGATGATATCATGATCATGGATTGTCACAATGTCTTGTACGAGTGGGTTGGCCAGCATGCAAGTTCGGAGGAGAAAGAGCATAGTTTAGATGTTGGCAAGGTATTGCACTCCCTTCAATTTTTACTACTTGGTAATCATAGTAGACTTGGAGAATATGTCTTGAAGTACCAACAACCTGCAGGTTGTGGTTTTTGAAGCGTGCATCCACTGAGCTGAGTTTAATTGTCGTATGCAGAAATATATTGAGCGAGCAGCAAGGCTGGATGGGATGCTACCAGATACTCCGATTTTTATTATTACGGAAGGCAACGAGCCGACGTTTTTCACCAGTTTCTTCTCGTGGGATACCAGCAAGGTCAATGTTAGTATTAATACATCCCTTTTCTTACTTCCAATTCTTGAGTATTGTTCCTTTTTGCGATTCAGGCGCACATGCAAAATTTTCAGATGTATAAATCATTCTTCCGCATTGAGATCAATCCAGAAAATCTATCATTAGGTCATCTGAAGATCATCAATAATTTCCAGGCGTACAAATATTGACATGTTTTCTCTACTCAAAACCTGGATGTGATAGGTCAATGGAGACGCATATGCCCAAAAGATTGCTGATATTCAGGCGCGACAAGCACCTCAAGAGGTAATTTAATTGCTGGATCAGAGGATTTGAATTTTATGTACGAATTATGTACAAGCTCTTCACTGATTTTTCAAAGCAGGCGCATCACATTATGGAGATTACATGCTGACTTTTGTAACTGGAGCTATTTCACGCAAGTGACCATATTCATGTGCAATTGTAACATGGTGTTTAAATATTTCAGACACTCCAAAGGCGTCTTACACCAAGTGCTTCAGCCGGTACTAAAAGTGAATCCACTCAGAGGGCAGCTGCTATGGCTGCTCTTTCATCACAATTGACCTCAGAAGGAAAACTTTCTAAGGCTGCTCAAACTATAATCACTCAGAATTCTGCCTCCGCTCCAGTAAGTCCGAAGGTTCATCGACCATCAGCTGCCAATTCACAAAGAGCTGCGGCTATGGCAGCTCTATCCTTCATGTTTGGTTCAAAACCAGCTCCAGCCTCAACGGTTTCAGGTGACTTTGTTGCTTTCGGTTGCTTAATTTCGGATAACCTTAAATCGCAGTCTGAAATTGTGTACGATGTTTGTAAACATGCGATACTTGTCTGCTCATTTGTGTAGTATTGGTTGTTCAGATCTTCCTTTCCACAAGGCATGTGTGCTTGATTGATTGCACCGGTCAGAGTCAGTAACTGTACCAAGCATTTCCAGATCAGTCCATTTCTTTGCATATTTCCGTAGACTGACTGACATACTCTTCTTGCTTTTTGTAGTGGATGCTGATTGGGTTGCTGGGAGCTCACCCTTCACAAAAGCGGAAGCAACAGGTGATACTGATTCAGTAACTAGCTCAAAGACTTCCGAGGATGGCGGTGATGCAGGAGAGGAGATTGCTGAATTTTACAGCTATGATCGCTTGAAGTCGACATCCACAAATCCCCCTCCGAAAATCAATATAAAAAGAAAAGAGGTAATTATTGAGTATAGATTGTCTTCGAAACCATTTAGTTGACTGGTATTAAGCTCTCTGATCGTAAGATCTGGCCTGTTTTCAAGTGTTACCCTACGAGCAATCAGCTTGGAACTCTATGCTACTGCGTTGAAAACCCCATGTCCCCTTTCACTTTGATTTTTTGTGCTATGTTTATATGTTACTGTTTGGCAAGAGTTGTAATGCATACCTTTCATGCAGGCCTATTTATCTCCTGAAGATTTCGAGAAGCTATTTGGAATGTCGAGAACTCAGTTTTATGAGATGCCAAAGTGGAAACAGGATCAACGCAAACGTCAACTTCTGCTCTTTTAGGTTTATCATTATTTTTTTATTTCAGTTGACGTGGAGATCTAAGGTATCTTTGATTTACCTGCAAGATTTAATAACTTCAGTAGTAAGGGCCTCGCTCTCTCTCTCTCTCTCTCTCCATGCAAATCAAGTTTTTGGAGTATTTCCAAACTCCACTTCATTGAGAGTCTGTGATATTGTAGTATTACCTTCTTTTAAGTATTTGTTTATTCTCTTGGATAGAGGACTGTAGCCATTCGTGCAATGGTCTAACTTGTGGAAAAGATCCGTCACTGGTGAAGTCATCACTTTCATTAGGTGTACCATAGCGTAGTCTCCACAGTTTTTGCTTATTTTGAATGAGCATTCGTAGATATAGTTTAGAAAGTAGCATCTGGCATAGCACCCATAGTGAAAGTAGGCAGTATGCGGTGACTTGTGGTGCTTATCCATGTGAAACAAACCAAGGAATCAAAGCCGTTCAGGTTATGATGGCGCCTGAACTAACTCCCACATCCCCGAGTTTATGAAAGGAGTGGCATAACAATGTTATTGTTAGGTTTATTATAACAAATCGAATTTGAAATGACAATTCCTGTTTTGATGTTGCACATAGCACGCAATTCATTATTCTAAATTTAAATCATAGTTGAGAAATAAGATTTTCTTTGAAAAATATTTTCTTTCTATAAAAATAAAAGGAAGAAATTGATGTAACCAAATATCTTCAAGCATGTGAAATATTTCATAAAAATTATGTTCTGTATTGTCACATGCTCGAAGACAATTGAAGATAATAGATCAGCAATAAAAAATTATGAAACTATTTTATTAATAATTTCATAATACATCTTTGTTATAGTTTGAGTTAATAATTTGTACAACATTGTATTAAATTAGAATATAAACATATATCTATATATATATATATATATACATATACACTCTTAATATTAATTAAAAGAACTGGTAGAAAGACACCTCCCTTTTCACTATGTAGACACTCCTTGTGCCACACACTTCTACATATACATTGTAAAACTCTTATATACACTAAAAATTTATAAAATAAATTTATAATAAAATGATTTGTTTGAAATGGTTGGTAACATATGTATATATTTTATTTATACATAATTTAGCAAAATGTTATAATACGTTTTATGTAATTCATTCATTCACTTTAAAAAGCTTATTAGTTTATTGAAGGAATAATTTATTGTGAATTTATTCTAATGTTTTTAGTGTAAATTAGTATTTCATTGTATATATGTAGGAATGTATGGTAGAGAGGGTTGTCCATGCAATAAAAGAGAGTTTCTACTTGGAAGTTTTTTTTAATTAAACATATAAATAAAATCATATGATATAAACATTCTATATATATGAATAACATTTTGAGTGATGTAGTGTAGAATAAATAAAATTCTTGTCTATATATATATATATATATATATATATATATTCATATACAGATTTTTTATATTCGCATATTAATTAGTTTGGTTATATTTATTTTTATATTCCTAAAGGTCATAAAGAACATATATTAACCTAGTTTGGTGTGTTTTGGTATGGATTAAGCCACCACTAAACCAAACTAAATCAAATCAAATAAAAAATATTATTTAAATCAAATTATAGGATTTCAAAATGAATTTAATCAAATCAAACCACATGAAGTGGATGTTTTATTAAATAAATCGCTGAAAATAATTTTAATGCCAATCTTTGATACAATTCACAATACTATGTGATAATTTTATTTAATCCTTGATTAAACAATTATCAATCTATCTTCTATATCAACAATGCAATAACATTGTCTTATGCAATCAAATTATTAAGTTTATATATTTATGTTGCATGCATATTAATTAGATCTTAAATTTCATCTTATTTAAAAATCTTAAGCTAAGAATATTAATATATTTTTATTTACAACATTGATGTTCCAATATTATTACAAATCCTTTAAATATTTTTTAATATCACAATTTGTATTCTCAGAAAGATCTAATATGGTAGAGATGCTAATATAATCTATTATAATATGATATAATAGTACATAAGTATTGCAACAATTGACACACTACACAATAATGTCAATTTTTTGATTAAGATAGTTGTTCATTATAGCATGTCATGAACATACGCATGTAAGCTAGTAATTACCTGTATAAATAGGTAGAAATAAGTAGAAGTAGATAAAAGCAAGTTAATTCTATTCTATTATATCTTCTATGGAAGCTTTCTAGAAGCTTTATAGATGTTGCTTTGACTTTATAGGTGTCTTTAATTGATTTTTTGGATTAGAAATATGGTCAACAAGTTATATATATATATATATAAAACTTATTCTAATAATTATCTAAATAATATGAGTAGGTAGAAATAAGTAAAAGGGATAAACTTGACAATATCTTGTAGACAAGCTCTTTAAAAGCTTCATTAACGTGACTTTGCCTCTATATGTATTTATGGATGATTTGAAGCTTGAAAACTTGTTCAATAATTTGTCTTCATGTTGCACATCTTGACCTCTTGTGGTACAAGTTCGACATGTATTGCACATATAAGAAGCTTGTTGTACAAATTATATACAAGTCTTGCAAGTTGGACACGTATCAGAGGTCCTATAGAATGTTGCCATATATCTTGTTATTAAATAGTATATATAGAGGCAAGAATGAAGCCATTTTTACTCTTATCAATTTCATTCTTGTTTTCAGTTAATTTCAAGAGTTTCTAGTTTTTTTGTCTTTTACAAATAGTCATTCTAGTTTCTTTTTGAATAAAAAAATTATTATTATTATTATTATTATTATTATGATTCATCTTCTTTTGATAAACAACTCACTTTTTTAATTTATATTCTTCAAATTCTTATTTTTGATAAATTGACAAGAATTTACTTATAATATTAATGTTTTATCTTTTCTTAATTAAGAATAGATTATATATATATTTTTTTTGCTAAGACATAAGCATATTAGAAGTTGTAAATAATCATCCACTTATAAATTGATATTTTTAGAATATTTTTTGATCTAAAGTCCTCTCTCTACTTATCTGGAGTGATATTAGCCATCTTTTTTTTCTTCTATTACATTTTCATGGCACAACTTGTTGAAATAAAGAATACAATGGCTCAAATGCAAGATCAAATGAGAGAATTAATGCTTGCAATGCATTAGTTCATTTTACCACTATAAGGATCAACTAGATTAGTTGAAAGTAAAGATATAGAAGTGATTAGAGTGGCTTCAATATTGATACCAAATCATATCATTTCTCTTATGATACAACATCATTTAAGCACTAAAAAACTAAAAGCTGCCTTGCTTAAGAAGTTTGATGGTAGAAGATTAAAGTTTCAAAGATTCACTAATCAAGTATAACTAGTGATTGAATTTTAACCTCAAAGTTATCCACACATACATATAAAAGTATCATTGGTCAAAGTAAGAATTGAACTTGTTCTTTGAGATCAAGTTTTTTATTAAATTATAATGCTACTTAATTAAGAAGTTTTTTCACCAAGGGCCATGGTTATGTCTATAAACAACTTATTTATTGTATTATCATCAAGAACTATGTAAATTAGCAATTGGAAGACTTTTGTTGTTCTTTCATCTATGATAGATTTTATAAATAATATAAAATATACTATCTTATTGAAACAATCTAATATCATGAAAATAGAGTCTTAAAAACTTAAAGTTACAAGATCTATAATAAAATCTATAGAAATTAAAGACCATGGTTGTTTTAATATTAATAATAGTTAGAAAAATCTATAAAATTGATAACAAAGAGTTTTCAAGAGTTGCATACTTGAGAAGTTTGATGGTACAAGATCAAAGGTTTGAAAATTCTTCTACTAAATATAATTATCAAGGAAATAAATCACAAATAATAAAAACCTTAATATGCTCTTGTGTTATTCAAAAAGAATAGATATTCATTCATAAGTAGTATAATATAGATCAATTGGTATGAGGGTTGAAACTTGTGGTCCAATAAAATGTAGAGTTAAAGATTCTACAAACAATTGAAGAAGCAATTAGGATTGTAAAGATGGTTGATGCTATAGATTTTAAAAACTGAAGAGAACAACCTATAGTATAAAGTCATATGCTGCTACATTGATTGTTGTACCATAATGACTTATGATACAACAATCAATGCCAATAAAGATTAATGCCTAACAAAGATCACTGACACTATAAAAATGACAAATATTAGTACAGAAGGATTGTGTTTCTACTATTGAAAGCTAGGCAATCTAGTGGCCTAGATATTGTTTAGGCACCAACAAATCAAGGTAGGTTCATAATCTTGAGATTCACTAAGTCGATAACAAAATGGAGGAGGAAAATGGAACTTCTTAGTAAAGGCACCAAGAGTTAAACAACATGGCTTTAAAAAAAACTATCAAAAGAATTGATTGGTGTGTCTAACGGGTTAACTAAGAGGACAACCATGTCAAGTACTTATGAATTACAACTTCATAAAAAATTGCATCTTGATTGGGATTGTCGATTAATTTGGAATTAAAACTAAGATAATCAAAGGAGGGATTATATACCTAGCAAGTGACCAAGAAAACATATTGAATGAAACATGTAAAGAAGAAACCTTGAAGTTAAGTGACACCTATGCCTTAAGAAAGAAGTTTACGATAACAAAGCTTAGATATGATATTATCCTTGATATGTCGTGATTAGAAGTAGAAAATAAGCAACTTGATTAGCTAGCAAGGATGATCTCCTTTAAAAATGGTAGATGTAAGGTGATTCTTTGCACCTCCACATTGAGTGAGGTAGAAAAACAATCTACGGCTAGAGGCCTACTTGTAGGAATAATTGTTATGAAGAAGAAAATATAGGATAAGCAATTGATATATATATGGTAGTTCCAAATCTTGCCTCAGTGATGGAAAAGACAATCAAAGTGGTAAAACAAGCAAAGAAACTCATATATGAATATTAGGATGTCTTTCCAACTGACTTATCTAGTGGCATGCCACCTCATCAAAGTGCCACCTTCTAAATAGAACTATTCCTTAGAACCAAACTAGCAAGTCAGCCAATCTATTACCTAGTACCAAATAAACTTGAAAAGCTGCGAGAGACATTAGATGAATTCTTAAAAAAGGGCATCATTTAAAAAAAGTATGTCACCATAGGGAGCACTTTTACTCTTTGTACTCAAAAAAGTTGGTAGACTTTGGCTTTGTATTAACAATTGAGGCCTCAATAAGCACACTATCAAGAATACATATCCACTTCCATGGATAGACAATCTTCTTTACTAACTTCGACATATAATCATCTTTAGCAAATTGGACCTTTGAAGTGGCTATTGGCAAATATCTATTGTAACAGAGGATATAGAAAAGATTGCCTTTTGTATATGCTATGGACATTTTGAATGGCTTATTTTACCTTTTGGCATCACCAATGCTCCAGCTTCTTTCATGGATTACATGAACAAATTATTTTAAAATCTTTTAGATAAATATATAATTTTTTTCATTGATGATATCTTAGTTTATAATAAAATCTTTAAGTAACATGAACAATGTCA